ATTTATCTTGTTTGTTGACATTTTTTAATGCTCAACTATGAGCAAAGAAGTACTTGATATAGTAGCTAGCTGATATCGTTCATGATGATTTACTGTAGCTATTGACTATTTATTCGCATTAGTTCGAGATGTAAAATGTTAAACTGTAGCTAAAGATTAATTTAGATTTGTTTGATAATACAGTGAGCATTTATAGATTCTGAGCAACTAAATACTCTATATATAATGCATATAATGGGCAAGTATATATATATGCCTAGACTAAAACGTAACCCACTAAGCACGTATAAAATTTTACCAGTAGAAAAACAGTCTTTTCAAATAAAACATCGCTTTAAATATACCTTCATGTCTTATAAAGTAATTATACTACGAATGTGTGTAATAAAATTTAATGTTGTGTATTGATTTTTCTTTCACTCCTTCACTTCATACGTAATATAGGGGCTGGTTCCCTAAAGACACCGATTGTATAATGTATTGAACATGTTACAATCGATTATTGGCTGGTGATTCCTGTTTCACCCTGCACTTAAGCTTTTTAATGGAACATCAGATATTTGTAAGAAAGCTAACTTCAAGGGGCAATGATAACATCGTTTACACTAGAATTATGATGTTTTTTTGAGCTTATGTAAAATACAGATGAAATAAATTGACTCTCATTACCCATATGACATTCGCAGTACCGTATCTAGTATTCTACAAAAGACTTGGAAGCAATACACCAAGCCGTTTTTGTTGTAGGCTATTAAGAGAATAATAGTAAGAAGAATTACAAACGGACCATTTTGAGCCGATTTTCTTTTCCTTGTTAGTCTAACTTGCGTGCTTTTTTTGTGCATTTTTACATGTTTACAACCTTAGCAGTCAATAATAAAGGTTTTAAAGTGTTTCAACTGAATCTTCACTGTTTAAGATGCTTTTTGCCCAAACGTTCTATTAGGGTTTTGTACAATTCCTTGCTATCTCCATTATGAACCACTATCGTGGATCATGATACGGCTAGCGTAGGTAGCCTTTGTGTAGCTTTGCGCGAAATTAAACAAAACAAACAAACAACAAACAAATAACGTGCATCATCAAGATTCACTGGACTGCATGACATTTCTATTGGACAACAGTTCAATCCTGAAAATCTTTGCAACACTGTAGTTGTACGTTTCTGGTGGTTTGCGAATGAGACAACGGATACAGTAATTCATTTTTTGCAGCTTTTTAGGAATTGTTCATGTTGAAATCAATGATATTGACCCATGATTGATGTTATCTGCTTGTTGCTGTACCATTGTTCACATCCCTTGCTAGCCACCATCTATCCTTATGTCGGACCTGTTTTCGTTGAGGTTTCTGTATAGACTCATGAGTTGTTCGCCTGTGGTATCACCGTCATTTCTCTTGTTTGTCCTATTGAGGCTCCAAGGATTCCAACAATAAAGGCTTCGTACATTGCACTATCATAAACTATATCTGATATTTGCTTCCCGGAATAGATGTAGCATTTAATATATAGTTCGATAGTGATGTCTACATTACATTCTAACACAATATAATGAACGTAGTATATTGTGTCATTAGTCTATGTCTTTGTCCAAAACATTTGGTATTTACATTCTAACACAATATGATGAACGTAGTATACTGTGTCATTAGTCTGTGTCTTTGTCCAGAACATTTGGTATTTACATTCTAACACAATATGATGAACGTAGTATATTGTGTCATTAGTCTGTGTCCAGAACATTTGGTATTTACATTCTAACACAATATGATGAACGTAGTATATTGTGTCATTAGTCTGTGTCCAGAACATTTGGTATTTACATTCTAACACAATATGATGAACGTAGTATATTGTGTCATTAGTCCAGAACATTTGGTATTTACATTCTAATACAATATAATGAACGTAGTATATTGTGTCATTAGTCTGTGTCCAGAACATTTGGTATTTACATTCTAACACAATATGATGAACGTAGTATATTGTGTCATTAGTCCAGAACATTTGGTATTTACATTCTAATACAATATAATGAACGTAGTATATTGTGTCATTAGTCTGTGTCTTTGTCCAGAACATTTGGTATTTACATTCTAATACAATATAATGAACGTAGTATATTGTGTCATTAGTCTGTGTCCAGAACATTTGGTATTTGTTGTCCTTACTTGGGTTATCTTCGCTCATAACAACAAATCCACACGATACAGAAATCGTGAACATGTTCGTAGCAGAGACTAACAGAGCGACATACCCTTGATATGAGAATCCAGTGTAATACGTAATACTGATGGATTCGTGATATTAATTTTACATCGCGAAGTTTTCAAGCTCTTTAGCTGGTCACCTTTTATAGAGTAACATAATTACTAGCATGTACATCAACATCTTTTAGCTGATTGTGTTTATACAATGAACAAGCAAGTCGAACATTAATATAAGATAGCTAACATCTAAGAAAAAACAAAACAGTAAATCAGTATCGCAAATGTATAATACATTATGTTCATGTCTGATTTCACTATTTCAATACGTTAGTAGTTATAAATAATTTTTGAAAAGATGAAAGCATCATCCAACTCCATATGCTGTTAATGTTTCAAAGTTCTAATCATTAAAATAAATACTTCATTAACCCCGCTGTAACCTACGTTATTTCACGGGAAGATGATAAACACTGTTTCCAAAAAAAACAAAAAAACTTGTAATAGGTAAGTATAACAATTCCCCGACTTCTTGAAATATGTTTTTAAATCAAAATTTGACTACGTATTCCTCAATTTACATTCAATATCTCTACAAGGTTTAATTATCGTATGATTAAACAACAATAATAATTATAAAAGAATTTTTGCAAGCTCACTCACTAACAGTAGGTATAAATATTTTTGTGAAATATAAAGGCAAAGCTTTATCAGAATACCAATTGTCCTTACCTGGGTATTACCTGAACAGAGGGCCGATGTTTAGCTATTCTTAAACTGAAAGGATCAAAATTTCCATTTTCACGTAACAAGATATGTCAAATGCATAAAGGTACTAATACTGAAAAGAAAAACTGTTTTCAAGTATTCTATGCATATAAAATTAGTACGAACAAACATTAAAATATAATAATTTCCGCCAATAATATGTATTTTAACACTTTTATGCGTGTACGCATACGTATTGTTATAATAATTTTTATATAGCCATCTGTATTGCATGTATGTAAGAAACTTTTCGAACTTCGGATTTATAGAGTACTTATTTCTCTTTATTACTATATATTTTCTCTCCTTTGTTTTAGCAAATGGTTCACACGCAACTGCCTGCTTCTTATGGTCCATATCCATTAAATGGTGATGAGTCAATTGGTCAACAACGGAGTGACCAGAAAGATGCATTTAACACTCAGGTGGTGACCGTCAGTGGTGTAGAACAGCAAACTGTAAGTTATATAGGATTAGTTTTTAAAACTTATTGGGATGATATAACATGCACACACAAAAGATTAATCTTAAAAAACCAAAAGTTATCAACTCAGCAAGGATCTTAAACTGTGGATTCCATTGCTTTTGCAAAGTCATAAACGATATTTATTTTAATAATAGAAACTGGTTTGAGTGATACATTTATCATGTTCTTCATGTAACCAATTTATTTTTTCTGAACGTTATGTGTTAAAAAGTTTATTTTGTGAATAATTTAGTGTACTTCGCATCTAGTTCTAAATTTATATCAACTCAGCAAGGATCTTAAACTGTG